ATCAGAAACTTCAATAAAAAGCAATTTATTCAAAAATTGTCGTTCTATAATGCAGCTAATATGCATTATGCAATATTCGGTATTTCTACGTTTTCTGAATAGATGTATACGATATATTCTGAGTTAAATACATACGATGATATCGCGAACATTGAATTATTACCTAGAAATGTCATTTATATTCGCAAACAAATATAATAATGACGTGGTATGGTCAAACGTCCATGGCTTCCTTTCCAAGTGCATCAAACTAAGCTAAAAGTAGTGACGTTTTAATCCTACCAATCTTACTAGTTTTTTCAGGCTTGACTAATGTCAGTCATTCTCTCTTTTTCCTTTTTAAAGCGATAAACTTTGGTTTATTGTTCCCTGAACGAAATAATGACAATGTTAAATGAAAACTTCCTCTGATTCTAATGATGGGAATGATTATCATATTGGAGCATATTTATTAAGGCCAACAAAACGTTTTATTTAAACAAAAACCATCGGAAAGAAACGGCCAAGAAATATATACATATTATATAGATAAGCAGCTTTTTTCGTACATTATTAAAACGGAAAAAAATATCCAGGATTGAAATGGATCTGCCACGAAACGTCTTTATCCCATCAAATTAAATCTTTCAATTCGCTCCGATCTCAGACTGGATGAATTCATTGAACTTTAAATTAGAGCTTGAAGAGGTTACCGAAATTCTAGCCACGTTTATAAGTGTTATTTATTTTAATACACTTCACATCAAATCTACCGATTTTCTGGGAATTTCATATCACGTTTTCTTCGTTGTTGCATTTTCCACTGGCTTGCATTCAATGATAATCCTTATATCTAAACTTAAACCGTTAGAAATCGCCTGCAGACATGTTTAAGCTCATATTTTTACTAAAAAGAAACAAAGTGTTCAACAAATTCAAGCATTATATTTGATATAACAAATTAAAGGAATTATTTACGTCTTTTGTCAGATGCCATATTTCGAAATTTCACGTCTGCCAAAATCTTACATTGGCGAATATCATAGACCGTCTAGAAATAATATACCTTTCTTACTTAAATAATTTTTTTTGTGTCGGTTGTTAGGTGAACATCTTGTTTGAAGGCTCATCAGTTCATGTTTACATTATCTGAAAAAGGGTTCTTCCAATATACAAATTAACAAGTTTTCATTCAAAGAAAACCATTGCTTTTCACTATAGATAACTACATGTGATCATTAGCAGTTCTCCCTGATGGAATGAAAAGTCAACAGTTTAGAACTCAAGAATTTCCTTTTTATTACCGCGTACTACATGCGCATACTTACAATCACAGGGAAAATTCCCCCTCAAAACTTTCAATAAGTTGTACTTCTAAGTTGTACCCACGTCGTGCCTTGATTGCATTATGCAAATTATGGGATAGTTCGACTGGACAGGTGTCCCTAGTTGACAAACGATTGGTTTAACAAATAGTTTGGCTCGATTCTCAAGACCACCAATTTACCAGCCACTCGGCGATGAGACTCTGCAAAASGCTTGCTTCATTTTTATAATATTTTAACACTATATTTTCACACCTTCATTGGCAATGAACGATACTGAGTGCCTTATTAAGGAGAAATCCTTTCCTTTTATAATCCTTGCTGTGTTGTGCTCTCTATCAGGATTGGTTGCTGTATTCGGAAATGTCCTAGTGCTATTAGCCATATATACCACTCGTAGCCTTAGGACAACATCAAATCTGTTTATAGCATCGCTAGCAGCGTCTGACTTGCTGGTAGGTTCGATAATGGACCCCATACTTGCTGTACGTACAATACGATACAGCTACTTAGGTAAACAAGCCTTAACCGATCCTCATCACCCGTTTAAGGTTGCTATCGACTTCTTGTGGATTCAGGCGGTTGTGGTAACAACTTTTGGACTAATGGCAGTGAGTGTTGATCGATATGTTGCTATAACTAAGGTTTTTGTATACGAAGCTTTCTTCACAACAAAACATTGTATATATTTGATCAGCATTGTCTGGCTGTTTTCTTTTTTGTTGGCTTCTTTGAGGCTTTACGTTCCTGTGTCTAATATCGGAGCACTATGGGTCGCTATAGCCGTCATTTCCTGYGGCATCCCTTTTTCAGTCACTTTGTATTGTTACTTCGGAATTTTTCGAGCTGCAAGGAAACAGCTTAAAAGAATCGTGAATGAAACAACTACAAAGACATCTAAGGAAACAAGACGACTTGAAGAGGCACGTCACCGGAAAACCGCGTGGACAATTGGAATTGTTATTGCGTTGTTTTTCTTTTTGTGGTTTCCAAGTCTGGTTGTTGCAGCAGTTAACTTAACTCTTCCAGATGGCTGTAAAAAAACGTACTTTGCGCAAACCGTTTGGATATGGATCGAATGGATTGCTTATCTGAGTTCTGCTGTGAACCCATGGGTCTATTCCATGAGAAGCGCTGAATTTCGAACGGCTTGTAAACTAAGTTTRGGCCTTCAAAGAGCTAGAGTCATTCCGGAAGAGATGATCTCGMGGTCCAAGGCAAGACCKAGCGTCATTGATAATGCTGGTATTCCTGGAGTTGCCTCTATAAACTTAAGCACTAATACACTGAATGGTTACCCCACATCTAAACGATCGGACGACAAAAACTCGAATTATCTTCTCCCTCCAGTTTCATAACCTGTTTGCCATGATTAATTTGTAAATGAAGCATCCAGAATGTTATAGTTTTAAATGGGTTTTCAGTCACACAACTGCCATTCGCTTTGTCAGTTCAACTATAATGTCATTTAAAATGAAACGACTCAGAAGGCCGCAATGCTAAGTCTCTAGGCTAGAGGTTTACATAGCAAATTAGCCAGTGTAAGGATGAGTTTATAAAGTTGTGGCCGAGTCGTAAGCAACATCCAAGACTGAAAGGTTTAATTTAGTGGATTAAAAACTATGAGAGTAAAAGTGAAAACTTTTATGGCTTTTGTTTGCATTTCATTTAGAATTTAAATGTCTGATTCAAAGACTCCCTTTTAAGTATTCTTCTCTTTTCTCAAGTTGTGAATATGATATTTCGAGATGTTTTTTCGTTGTTTTGATATTTTTTTCACAAGCCTCAACAGTTATACGAAAACTAATTATTGTTTTACAGAAAAGCACACGGAAAACTTTTAGATTTTGTCAATTTTTTGCAGGTGGCCGTGTTTGAAGGATCACAAGGGGCTAAATTTAGTGGAATTCTATATTGTTATGGGAATTAAGATCTTCACTGCTATCTTATTAACAACAAATAGTGTATCGATACAATGTTACTTATGTTAATAATTTTGGTGGCCACTTAGACTCCAGAGTTTCATCATAGTGTTGCATGGGACCCATGTTATTTTAGTTTAAAAATACAACTTTTCTCTCGCCATAATCTTCCGATGAAACTACGTAAGATGTGTGCGTGCGTGCGTGCGTGCGTGCGTGCGTGCGTGCGTGTTTATTTGAAGCATCGAGAAAAACGGCGAGTTTGGACATAAAACGGATATTACAATTTGAGCAAGAGATGTAGAACAAGCAGTGTTTGATTCGTACGCTAAATATTGGCAATATTTATTTGGAATAATTAAATATAGCCATAGATAGGTGTCGAACCAGTAGTCAGTATAGGTATGAATATCATTGTTACTGTTTTCTTTTTGTTTGTTTGTTTTTGTTATTTGTGGGGAGTRGGAGAGGGGTGGGGCTGAATTAGTGTCATCATTATTTCTTTAGTGCTTTTGAATTCAAAGCCAATTCGAATTGGGGGAGGGGGAAGGGCATTCTTATAGATCTGCCTTGTTCTTCGTACTTTTCACCGTCACTACGTTTTCCATGTTTCTATAGGTAWGTTTATTCTGATAGTTGAAGTTTTTTGAGTTACAGCAGTGCTGAAAAAAGGGAATCGTGCCAAAGTATCCACTAGGCACCCGCTAAATGCCTATTCTAACAAAATGTATTTCAATTGCTTCGTTACACTCAGAATATAAATTGTACTCAAGATTTAGAGAGAATGTGAAATGTTTTCAGGAGTTATAAGTGCTGCCATTCGAGAAATTGTCTCGGCTGTCAATACAAGTGATTTATGCTCAGGCAATTGTCTCCTTGATGAACATTACGTTAAATGGAAATTCGCTTCTATTGTTAATTATACCTAAATAAATTAGACTAAGTACAGGCATATATTGTTATCCTATGTCGAAATTCCCTGTTATCTATATGGAACGAATTCGATTGTCTCCTAGTTTACTGAATGCAGYCCCAGCTACAAATTCTTCGTTTGCAGGTTACGTCATAAGCGTCCATCTTGGAGGAGCTTTCAGTAACAATTGACCAACATGGTCATTGGTCTTTTATTTTTTTTTGAATGATTCAACCCAGCAAGCAGAAAACGTCTTTTATTTTCCCTCTTTTCTCTTTTTTTGCGATGCAGATATGGAGCAAGGTGCTTTGACATAAAGATAGAGTGGACTTCGTATGACTTTGTAACGGTAAGGATCACGGCACGGGCACGGTTGGGTCACGGAACTTCACCTTGTAGTGATTCCAAATAAAAATGAAAATTCAACAATACATCACCAACACGGCACGGCACGATACGGCCAAAGCACGAATGTGCCTTTTTTTTTTGGATACTGTCATGCGAAATCCTCCCTATAGACCACTCTCATAAGTGCCTACCATCGATTTTATACAATTCATAATATTTTGGAAACATTCAACACTGTCATATGGAAGAACTACTGGAAATATAGGTATTCATGGAAAGTTTTGAAGCCATAAACTAACAAAGTTATGGAGGAATTAAAATACATAAATTTGTATGGAATTCTYTGCTGGTGACTGGGTAGCCTCGTTTTGGTGTTTTCGTACCTCTTCTAACCCTTACAACKTCAAGAGGATTAAATATTTTCMMCTGAAACTTTCAGAGTTTATCTTTGGCTTTGATATCTACCATTTGATTGTTTTCTTTTGTCAACATTATGAATTGAGAGATAATATGCTAATTAGTGTCGGCCATTATGAGAATCGTGTATACGTGCGAATCAGTCCTGTTAGATATAATAGCAGTACAAGTCAATCTGGACAATGCCAAAATTATCAGTTTCATAATGGTTAAATGCATCCTCTCCATACCAAATTTGGAGCTCTTGTTGGTTAGCAACGTTAAGAGTTGGGGACATTTCAGGAAGCGTGAATTCGGCGTCGTAAGGCGTTGAACCTGGGATGCTGTAAAAAGAGGCATGTTGGTGCTTTAGCTTGGGTGATAGTACCTGCTTTGTAGTGTCGGTTATGAAAAGGCCAAAAAACGACTGGTGACAACCAAAGTGAGTTAGAGGGTAGCGATATGAACAAGAAATACCACCACACACGTGAACTAGTTTAAACTTAAGGATTTTGCCGGGTTTTGGGACCTTGACAATTCCTGGTCTATTATCTTTGGTTCCAACTTTAACAGGGTCTGTGTTCACTTTGGTCCAACCTGTACAATTGAATATTTCATATTTATTTTTGAAATATCTTTTTATTTCTTTTTTCTTCTTTTTTTATCAAAACATTTCTTTTTTTCCCGGATGTTAGAATGTATGAAGGCTGTATCTGAAAAACGTCAAACTCCTGAATTCACCTGCGCCCTCTTCCCCGATATAATTGTTTAATGTTTAGTATTTACCTTGCGTGTTGTTCGGTACAACCGCTGGACATCGGCAAACGTATTTTCCCGTCCCGTAATCTGGATAGGGTTTCATCTCTTTATATACTGATACATCGCAAGGATTCGAATTGCCGACACCCTGAACATATGCATTATAATTAATCAAGTAAATTAATATATCAAGTAAATTGTAATTATTGCAAGGACTGGTGATTTCTTATCCACAACATCGTGGGTTGCAACCAGCATGGTCCATGCCACTTTGTCTATTGTTCCTAGTTGACTGAGCCCACTCATAGTTAATAGACTATGGCCCACTCTAAGTTTTCGCTATTCTTCAGATTGCTTATTGCGCATGCTCTATTTAATTTCTTCATCTGAATCTATCCCACATGGAACAATGACTCATTTCCCATAAAATTATAAATTGTGGATGGAGAGTTGGATAAATCAGTGGAGAGAATAGTACTAAAGTTAATAGATGGGT